CGCTGTGAGTCTTTTCGAAGTTAATCAGCAGAACTTTTACCGAGTGCTGATACCATCAAAAGCCAGCTTAATGCCTGGGGGATAAAAGACTCTGTGGGGAATGAGCAAGGCAGTGAGCTGGCGGCCACCTGGCTCAGGGAGCTGCGAATGTTCCTGCAGAGAACACTCCAAGAGCGAGTCGGGCTCAGGCCCAAGATGCTACAGTATTGTGCATTCCCCCTTAGCTCCCTGCCGATGGTCGGTGTGTGCCTGGAATGGTGCGTGGCAGAGCAAAAATCTCCTATTCAGTACCTTTACCTGAACAGTAACTTCTGGGACCTTGAAGAAGATAGCAAACTATTTCCCGAGGAGGGTGGGGAAGCACTGGGATGGGTTCCCTAGGGAGGGGGCGGAATCTCCACCCTTAGAGGTTTTTTAATTCTGGCTTGAGAAAACTCTGGCTGTGTTGATTGAGTTGGGTTGGTCCTGCTGTGGGCAGGGGGCTGGACTCGATGACTCCTGAGGTCTCTTTCTGACCTAGGATTCTATATATCAGGAATTGCCTAGGTCAGATCTGCTGCTTCAGGCCACACACCGGAGCATGGATCTTTCACATGCTTGAGAGACGTAGCTATGCAAGTTCCCAGCATAGACCAGTCCTGAGAAAGGACAGAAGATTCAATGGCACACCGCTCTGTCCTGGGAGTGGCACTCCCTCCATTATCCGCTCATGTACTCTGGCTCTCAGAGGCCAGGGACTCTCGACGCACACACGGGCTGTGTTGTAAGACAGCAGTGGTGGATTCCTAGCTCACCCTCTTTCCCAGCGGGAGTCTCTGTGACCAGAACACAGATCAGCTGAAAGGCAACGACTCCTAAGCTGCAGGCTGAGATTCTAGGGCCCACCCGTCTAGGAAGGCCTGAGCAGAGAGGCACATCTGGCCCCGTGTTCTAAGCGTGGCCAGGCCCAGGTTGAGAAGTATTTCTGGGGAAACCAACTCCATGACAAGTACCTGCTACAGAGACAATCCCGCCTTCGACACCCCGAGCTTCACCACTGCCGCCGTTCCTGACAAACACAGTCCTCGTGGTGCACATGGGGAGAAGAGATCCCGGAGATAACTCGGGTCCACACCCGCCACTTGATTTCCACCCACAAATGAGTTTGCTCATGGTATTCAGAGTGCAGGAGCAGCTGGGTCCCATTAGCCAGCCTTGTGCCACATCTAGCTGAAGCTGCGGCATAGCCTTGAAGGCTGAATGTGGTGCTGGGAGCTATGAGACTATGATGGGTGTGATCTGCATCTGAGAATAAAAGGAGCTAAAGAAAACCCAGGGCATCCATGGATACTGCTGGTCTCTGGCTCCCATTTACGATCATGGCAAACACGCCAGAACTGATACACCACCACGCCAGTCTAGGGTATGGGAGCGGTGAATCAGGCCCAGGAGTTCACAAAACTGGACTGCATGCGGAGCAATTCAACAAGCTGGTCTGGAAGGGTCTAGGTAAATGCCGCCGTCAAACTCTGGTGGGATTACCGTCTTCTGCCGGCTCAGCTCTGCGGATTTCTATGTCTGTGCGTGAACGTCAGCCCCGTTTGCTCCCCCAGCAGGCAGCGGAGTTAATCCAGGAATAGATCCGGCCCCCGGTGTCCAGCACAACCTGGGGCGTGTCTAGGAATCCTACTGCGGTCAAAGGGAAGGCTCACATGGGTACACGTCACCTGTGATTCTGCAGCCACGGTGGCACCGAGCTCATGGTATCGCTGCAGAGGACAAATGGCTGGCAAATATATCCCCAAGCGTCCACAGCGGGACTGCTCTCCGATCTCCCCTTCTGCTCAGCTCAAATGGTTAGACCCAGGGACCAGGACTGCAAGATGTTAACCCTGCACTCTCCGCAGAGCTGTGTTATCTGCAAACAGCTTATCAATAGCTACATCCAGTCTCCATCTGTGTATTGCATCCATCTGCCCCTCATACGCCTCCTTCCCTGCATCGGTATGTACACGTCACATACATCAAGGTGTCTATCCACTGCCTCCATGTACAAACCATTCACTGCCACCATGCCTGTGTCATTCATCCATCTATTCCAGTAGTTCTCAACCTGCTCCTACCGGAAACTGGGAAACTTCTCATTCTAGGACTCTGCTCCCATCTGGCAAGGGTCTAGCTAGGACTGTCTGCATTTAGCAATATGGCTAGTCACAACCCACCTACACCTAATCACAACCCCAGGTTGAGACTCCCATATCTATTGTGTTCACCCACAGCATCACGATACTTTACCTGTCTCCATCTACCATGGCTCAGCGTGTATGTATTCTACCTCCAGGCCTGCCCATGCATCTAGCATGTCTCTGGGCAAGAGCTGGCTGGCTTCTGCGACGAGGCATTGTTTCCATCTCCCTGACACCTCCCGATTCCCCCAATAAGCACACGAAGGGGCTTAGTAGAATGAAGGCGGGTTGTTAGGGCTGGCGGGTACTTACATGGCAGAATGGAAGGAGGCATGAAGTGGAGAGAGGCGTTGGCCAGGCATGCAGGAGACAAACAGAAAAAAACAAAAGGGGATGAAGGGCTGAGTTAATAAATGCCTCCACGTGTGAGCATGAGGCGACCGTGTCTCTGTAGCCACTGCGAGAGCAGGAGGGATGCAGATAAAGGCACCACAATCATTTCCTGGTATTGGTACCGAGTATTTTGTTGTTGTTAAGAAATCCATGGAGTAAGGGTGACATTTTGCTCCACAATCCCTTCCCTTGGTGATTTGGACCATGTCATAAATGGAGGGGCCTGGCTGGCTGGAATCACTGGAATCCTGCGGGGATCGTTTCTGCTGGCCCAGTGCCCTGCTCAGAGGATGCTTACTCCTACAGCTGCTTCTCCTTTCACACGGAATCATAGAGCTGGAAGAGCCCTCAGGAGGTCATCGAGTCCAGCCCCCTACCCAAGGCAGGACAATCCCAATTAAATCAACCCAGCCAGGGCCCTGTCAAGCTGAGACTTAAAATCTTTAGGGATGGAAATTGCACCCCCTCCCTAGGGAACCCATCCCAGTGCTCCCCCGCCCTCCTAGGGAAATAGTTTTTCCTAATATCCAACCTAGACCTCCCCCACTGCAACTTGAGCCCATTGCTCCTCATTCTGTCATCTGCCACTCACCCCCACTGTAACTTGAGCCCATTGCTCCTTGTTCTGCATCTGCCACCCCCAAGAACAGCCTCTCTCCATCCTCTTTGGAACCCCCCTTCAGGGAGTTGAAGGCTGCTCTCAAATCCCCCCTCACTCTTCTCTTCTGCAGACTAAATAAGCCCAAATCCCTCAGCTGCTCCTCATAAGTCATGTGCTCCAGCCCCTTAATCATTTTCACGTCCTTCCCTGGACCCTCTCCAATGCGTCCACGTCCTTTCTGTAGTGGGGGGCCCGGAATTTGGCACAATACTCCAGGTGTGGCCTCACCAAGCATCTCCTGATGCTAGATCCCCTGCTGCACTACACTCCGATATAGCCTCACAGCAAACCATGCGGTGTCCCCTGGGGATTCCCCTGGTAGCTGCCTCGGAGGGCTGAGGATGGGGATGGTGAGCCGCCCGTAGGCACAGCTGCCATGGGGGAGCGGTCAAAGATAAAGCCAAGGGGGATTCTGTTCACAGAACAGTCAGTCCCAAAGTTACTGCAGCACGTGCCTACCAGTGCACTGCTAGATCTGCATTGTTTTAGCCAGAGCCAGCATGTCAAACACCAGAGGCCAATCCTATAGCAGGGAGGAAATCTTCCAGACCCTGGCTTCACCCTGAGTGGAGGAGATGGCAAGAGAAAAGGGGAGATTAAAAAGTTGGGGACCCTCCAAAAATAACCTCATTAGAGGCTCCCCGAATCCTCAAGCCGGCTCTGCTTTAGCCCTTCCCTGTCCAGAGATCGGGTGCATTGCTCCCAATTTGCATCTGATTCCCAGCCTGGCCTAAGAATGCTCCTAAGTCAGAGATTACGGCAATTGCAGGTTGACTTATTGCTGTACATCTCTCAGCCGAGCCTTCACTGGCCCGATCGGCAACAAAATGAGTGCCATGCATGGGCTCTTCACCACACAATCCCCCTTCGTCCTCACGTGAGCACCACGACTACATGTCGCACCGTTGTAAACGTCCTTCTGTGTGGTGAGAAGCCACAAGGAAGACTGTATGGCTACGTCAACGCTGCAGTTCTTTCGGAATAAGCTACTCCAGAATAGTTAGTCTGAAATAGCTTATTTCGAAATAGCACGTCTACCCTGCAGGGAAGCCTCAAAATGAATCCGAGGCCGGCTTCCCTAATGTAGATGTGCTATCTTGATTTAGAGCCCCAGGAGGAATAACTTAGCGAGGGGCTATTTCGAAATAGCAGAAGTGCAGCATCTAGACACGCCTTATTTCGAAACAGCTATTTCGGAATAGGCGCTATTCTTCGTAAAATGAGGTTTACAGAAGTTGGAGTAAGCCGTCCGTTATTTCAAAATTATTTGAGTTGCTGAGTAGACACTCACATTGTTATTTCGGAGTAATGGCCGTTATTCCGAAATAACTTTGCTGTGTAGACACACTCTATGAAAAATGGATCTATAACCCCAATGCAGATCTGGGCAGGTCCCCGCGAGACACGCAGCATGGAAAGGCCCTAGCTGCAACCCTCTGAAGCAGAAGATTGCAAACTGGATTTATATCCTATTGGACAAGGACTCTGGGTGCAAGCTCCAGCAAGAGACGACGCGGAACTTTGTTTTGCGCCTCCTCAAAAGGAATTCTGGGTTGACAGGACGAGTGGATGGAGTTTAAGCCACATTATTTATGGAGGAGACAAATTCCAGGGGGTCAGTCACAGCCGGTCTACCTGCATCCTCTCCGGCTGCCCGTCTGGGAAGCAGGACTGTGCTCCATGCATGTTGTCAGACAGGGACACAGGCAGTGCAAGAGCAGGAAAAGGTTACAGGCAGGGGAGGGACAGCGCATGTGACAGACAGCAAGACCAATACTGACCTTGGAACAAGGTTGAGCTTGTGGGCTCACTTATTTCTAAACGGGGGGAGGAAACGATGGAAGAGAAAAATGACAAAAAAATTATAGTTCACATCCCCCGCCACGAGCACTGTGACATGTGAAGAAGAGGGGCAATGGGAGATGTGGAGGTACCATGGAAAAGGCGGAAGGGTGGGTCCAGGGAGCAGCAGGCCGGTTTTGAAGTGAGTGAAATGAATCATGGGTAATTGAAGGAATGATGGTCCCTTGAGTTCAAAATAATAAATAACATCCTGGCAGCCTTGCAAAGGGGCGGCTGTTGTTATAGAAATGCCTGCAGGCCCCAGCCGCGACCATGCGCTGGGCAAACACAGTGAGAGCTATTCCTGTCCTGAAGCGCTGACCATTGGGCTAGACAAAGGGAAGGGGGAATTGAGGGCTAGAAGTGGGGAGAGACTTGCCCAAATCCACATATCAAGGCCGTGGCAGAGCTCCAGCTCTCCTGACTCACACCCCAGTGCACTGCCCACTAGGCCAAACTGCCTTTCTGGAAATGGACCAACCCAATTGCAGCATCTCCATGCTCGCCCTTTCCACCACGGTGAAAATGAAAAACTAACACTATGCTCATCAGAATGAAGTCCACACCCCTAGACACCCAGGCTCCATCTAGACTGGCATGATTTTCCACAAATGCTTTTAACGGAAAAGTTTTTCTGTTAAAAGCATTTGCGGAAAAGAGCGTCTAGATTGGCACGGACGGTTTTCCACAAAAGCACTTTTTGCGGAAAAGCATCTGTGCCAATCTAGACGCGGTTTTGCGCAAGAAAGCCCCGATCGCCATTTTCGCCATCAGGGCTTTTTTGCGCAAAACAGTTTTCAGCTGTCTACACTGGCCCTGTTGCGCAAAAGCATTTCTGGAAAAGGGCTTTTGCCCAAACGGGAGCAGCATAGTATTTGCACAAGAAGCACTGATTTCAGACAGTAGAAAGTCAGTGCTTTTGCGCAAAATCAAGCGGCCAGTGTAGACAGCTGGCAAGTTTTTCCGCAAAAGCAGCCGCTTATGCGGAAAAACTTGCCAGTCTAGACACAGCCCCAGTGTTTCGCAAGGCTGTGTTATACAACAGGCACTAAGGATTGTGGATGGGGGCTGAAGCATGACACAGATTTGATAGCTGCAGGGATGTTATATACTGTACTAGGGCCCCGCCGA